AACACAACAACAAAAGCAGCAACTACAACAGCAAAACTGTTGCTGCAACAACAACAACAACAACAACAACAACAACAACAACAACAACAACAACAACAACAACAACAACAACAACAACAACAACAATGTACACACTCGGTATTTGAATACCTCAGAACAGTGTCTTCACGCTTCGAAGAGTCGATAAAGTGTGGTCCCCGAACTCGAAGCTAGAGCCACAAACATTGGTGAACACAACAAGGTCGTAAACACATGAGACTGAAGCAATCAATAGCCACATGATTGAGGTAGGAAAAAACCCACTCTCTGGTTGCACCATTAGCAAGAAAATGGTGAAATGGTATAGGTATAGGTTTAACGCCCCTGTCAACACTGTTAAGTTATTTAAGAAGTAGGACCTCCGGGTTTAATGTCTATCTCCAAAAGGATCGAGCTAAATGGGAAATTCGTGTAAGGTGCCTTTCCGCCTCGAATGATATAAATTGTGTCTTTATAAAAACCATTACTAATTGATTATAAACTATTGATATTAACATAATATTAAACAATTCGCCCAACTGTTTAGTTGTAAGTAACCATCCCACCCTTTGTCACTGAGGGCTTGAGTTACATGAGCGTGCAGGTAGCTCTCTCACCACTCACCACTCACCACTCACCACTCACCCTCACACCAGACCACACTGACACCGTGAGTTACATGAGCGTGCTATGTACGCTCTCACCACTCACCACTCACTGCTCACCATTCACCATTCACCACTCACCACTCACCACTCACCACTCACCATTCACCACTCACCACTCACCGCTCACCCTCACACCAGACCGGGCCACACTGACCGCGCTGTGCTGGCCGCTGATTGGTCGATTGAGTCAGAGAACTCATAGCGGAGAATCTGATGGTAGGGTGGGAAAGGTGGGGTAGGGAAGGGGCCTTTTCATTTAGGGAATTAGTGCGTGTGAATAAGTGAATCAGAACACACGGGAAGGAAACCTCCTAATATATTCTCTCAGTCTATCTCATTTTCTGTGGTATAGATAGATAGATAGATAGATAGATAGATAGATAGATAGATAGATAGATAGATA